ACCCGGGGGGCTGAAAGCAAACGGCCAGGGGTGGGAGGGGAGAAAAGCACACGACTTCCTAAGATTGGTGAAGTAGGGGTTGATTTAAACATGGGGGGGGGGGCGAAAAAACTAGGAGCCCTTACTGCTCCATCCCTACGGCTTGAAGAGATTTTCACGCACGGCTCCACTGCACACAGCTCTGACCGCCGTCACCAAGGTCCGCACACCTCGGCCGATGTTGCCGCCGTGCGGGTCCAGAGCTCGGAGCGCGCAGACCTTGGCGGTTCCGAAGGCCTACCAAAAGGCCTAGGAGTCATGGATTCGCCGAGCTTCTCCATGTTTTCCTGAGTAGAAGATGCCCGGAACTCGAGGCCGCCATTGGGAGCCCAGCCCTGCACTGAAGGCGAATCCAGACGTGAGCCCAAGAACCCTACTCGTTCTACGTTTCTCTAAATCTAGCATCGCTTGCTGTTCATTACTGTATGTTTCTCCATGCTTTGACCTCCTCAGTGCTCAGTCTTCCACGGCTTTCTTCCCGGCACCGACTGTGTTCGGCTCGGCTTGGTCTCAAGAGCTGGAACTAACCACATGCATGGACGGATGCAGACACACACGATGTCATGCACAACTTAGACCCTGAGCCACATGTCATAACGTCTCTGGCTTCGACATGTCGTGCTACTGCTGACATGTATCAGCTAGCAGAAGTCAGTCCTGTAGTTGCCACAGCTTGCCAATGCTGACCACAACGCCGTCGTCATTCAGCTCCACTTTGTGAGCCTGGTGAAGCACGCAACTGAAAGCAGGAGGCTTTTCACCCCTTCTCTAGCTAGCCCACCGTCTCTTCTTGAAGCAACCGGTTGCGTGGCAAGGAGGCATACAGGCGTGCTCGATTTCCCTCTCTCTCTCTGATTCAATGGCCTTGAGGGGCAAGCCATTGATGCTGACATCCGTGCCGATGACGAAAATCTTGGCACCTTGACTAGGCGAGCAGCACCGGGGCTTTTACAACACACGACACGCTTGTCACATCCCAAGCTGTAGCCTCAGCAAGGCACCACCCGAGCCCAGCCACGATCCCTGCAAAGTCGCCAGAGTGATGGGGCCTGTTCAGAGTCACGAAGACCACTAAACTCTGGGATGCATCTCGCTAGCCTTATGGAACACCACGGCTGCGGACAAGAGGAACAGAGGACATGGAGACAGCGTTAGCCCCCTGCCCTGCGGCAAGAGATTCACAATCATGATAATGCAAGCGTGTTATGCAACTGGCCTGCGGGAACTTGCTTGGCTTGCGGCGGGCAGACCGGAGCTTTGCTGCCCATGCATATGAAGCCTTCATCCATCACCGGAGTGCCCTTCACCCGGGCCGTCCTCGCCCACTCATCCAATTCCTTGCAGACATCCAAAGCAGATGGCTTCAACTTTCAACCCCAAACCGTCTCCAACTGATCAGCCCCCGGCCGGTGGCGAGCTGCTGCTTTTTGAGGAGTGCGCGTCGATCTTCGGCACATCACTCCAACAGATTCGGCCACAGGCCTGCAGCAAGCCACGAGAAAGGGAGACCAGGAGGCAGAGGAGAGTCAGTGAAAAACGGAGGCGACTCCGACTATCACATCATCGAATCGCCAGCCTGGAGTTGGGCTCCCATCCCGCGGCAGAAAAATCCTGAAACGAGCTCTAAGCAGTTTGCCTCTTCGAGCCGAAAAACGCTTTGGGGTTCCTCGATGCTTTCTCCGGTGAGTTGAAGCACAACCCAAGTGCAGCCTCTGAAAAGGCTGGCGCGGCAAGCCTACGGCTGACAGGCTCAGGATGCAGCTGCCCTCGATCTCGTGCTTGTCCGAGTCCAGGCGGCCTAACCAGTGACAGCCAAAATCCAGAAGGCACTTTCCCACTGTCTGAGATCGCAGCTCGTCATGGAGGAGGCACCATCCTCGTAGGTCTGCAGCGCGAACCGCTGGATCTCTGCAAGCTCCTGCAGTGCAGCTCTCAAGCCCACGGAGATACAGCTCCCAATAAACGTCTCAACATCCACATCCCACACCTCGCTGATCTCCAGTCGGACTTGCGACAACTGCTCGTCTGCCGCCTTCTGGAGATCACGGAGGGCCTCCAGACGACATGCGCTCCGGAGCGGTGGTGGGGGCCTCTGGGGCCTCCCGGCCTCCAGGTCCGAGCTGGTGGCAGAAGTTTGCAGAGACTTTTCCAGATCCTTCTGCTTGGCTGAGAGGTCCGCCACCTCCTCTTGCACCGCAGCCACGGCCTCCTTCCAAAGAGCCTCCTCAGAGAGACTTTGGTCAGAGCACCGCGTGAAAAACCCTCACGCCCGAGCCTGGGAAGACAGCAGAGCCTCGACGTCGGCTTTGCTAGCTGCATTCCGCGCTGGCTCTGGCGCTTGTGTACCGGCGGCGGAACGAGCCGAGAAGGTTCGATTGACAGCTCCGGCTTCGGACTTCGGCGAGAAGGTCGCCCCGCGGGCCGGGGCCGAAATTCCGGCGAAGGTTTCACTCGGCTCCCTCTCCACGTTCAGCGTTGAAGAGCTCATGACGGCGGGGGCTGTCATGGCCAGGTCATCGGACCCTGAGTACGTCTGAGCCTGCAGAGAAGGCGAGAGCACGGACATGCGTGGACGTGTGCACAGCTCTGCAGGTCACCTGACTGGCCACGGTTGCAGCGATTTGACGGAGCCTGTGAGAGAAGGGTGCGACGTTCACCGTCGGCTCTCGCCCCTGCGTTTTGGGAGTTTCCAGGCCTGCCATCCATGGATTTCAGCTGCACGCCAAGCACATCTGCTTTGGCATGTGCACCCTGTGCGAGTTCCTCTGCACTGATCCACAGGTAGATGACAGTCACGTGTGGGCTTCAAAGGCAGACCTCGACCTCTGCCAGCACCTTTTTCGTGGCGAGGTCGTTGTGCAGGTCCTGCCCCAAAGAGGAGCAGAGCCGCGTTGCAGAACACCATGGCCCCTTTTGGGCCTCGGCCAGCTGCGCCCGAGCCAGCTCGGCGCTGTCCCTGACAGCGCCGACCTCACACACAGAGTTTGGGTCGTTTTTAGCAGGGCAGAGCGGATCCCAATTCAAGGAAATCGGCCTGGTCTGCCAGCTCATTGCGAAGAGTGCTCAGGACCTATGGCAGGCGAGCACTGGATGGGACCGGTCGGACACTCTTTCCCCGTTTCCGAATTGAGGTGCTTTGTAAGTCGAGTGGAACTTGGTTCTCCTTGTTTGAGGCTCCTCCTGGCACCTGGATGTCAGCCAGAAGCTTGCTGGCAATTTCTCCCACATGGACACAAAGCCAGACACCGCTTCTGGGTCTCCTCTGGCAGGGTAACTGTGCCTTGACCCAGTTTGACCCATCTTGCAGTGGTGTGTAGCCACACCGGTTTTGTGACCCCCTGTTTCCTCGAGACGCCTGGAGTGCTGATAAAGTGATATGGGCTCGAGATGTCACAGACTGTGCGATTCACGTGATCCACAGTGAATACATGAAACCTGCCTGGACGGTGATGTCGCGGCTGTAGTTGCGAAAGCGACTGTGCAAGTCACGAGTGTCTCTGCTTGGCAACAGCAGCAGCACAACAGCAGACATTCCCCGAAGACATACACAGACAGACACACTGCGGATGAGTGCGGCTTGCACGGCCCTTTTTTCCCCGGGGCCTAAGCACTTCTCGGAGGTTGTCTTCTTTGACTCGGATGTCACCGTCTTGATCGGTGAAGACATTGAGGATCTTCCTGGGCAGCCGGGTGGGCCACGAAAAGGCGAGGGCGGAGAGGCATGTGTTAGTGTCGGGAAAGCAGGCACGCCGAGGTCTTCTTCTTCGCACTGTCTTGCACTCTCTGACTGACTCCCAAGCAACAGAAGTTGGGCCAAGTTGCAGCGGTATCTCCGGCGGCACAGCGACGTCAACCATGTCGCGGAATGGACCGACGGGACGTCATTGATGTCATCAGGCCGCAAGAGTTCGGCTCAAGGCTAGTCGGACTTCTTGAGTCTGGTGCACATCTTGGGGCCTTTTGGATCTTCACGGCAGTCAGGTTCAAGTGCTGCTGGATCTTATCTGGGGCTGCAAGGGGTAAAGATAGCAAGCAAGCTTCCACTTGGACCCGAGACAGCCGTGAAGTGTCACAGCCACACAGCTATGAATGAAAGCACATATCAGAGGTCTCCACTCCCGAAGTATTCCGGACACGCCGCAGCAAGCTCACAGATGCATTTTCCGGTACTCTGATGGCACAGAAACCATTGCAAAGCTTTTCGATCACACAGGCAACTGCTTTGAGTTCGGCTGTCGATCCACCTGTGTTCACAAAAAGCCTTGTGGGTTTCGCTGGCTGACGACAAGCACTCAGTGCTGCCGAGCGCTTCACCTGAAACGGCACACACGATCAACGAATCAAATCTCACACGTGATTGCTTAAGTGACCAGTTGCCCGAACTTTGCCTCGTCTTTCACTTCCTTCCAACCTGACCCTGGTCCTGACGAACAAGCGGCTTCTGCGGACTCACAGTCTCCGACTGCTCCTTGCGAGTCGGCATGCCGGCACCCACAACTCCTGCACTCAAGCTGAAGCCCTCAGAAGCACCAGGTTTGAACCGTTCAGGGCCAAGTTGCACCTCGCCGGTTTCCGCCAGAAGCTCGGAGTCTGTGGATAGATTGAACTGCAAGGGCCATGCCCTGGCACACAGCCGACGAGAATGCCAGAGCGTGTCATGTGAGCTCCTCCCAACGAAACGAGAGCCTCGTCATGCTGCAGAGAGCTGCGAATCGGTGACTGCCGCTCCTGGCAGCCCACAATGCTCGGGACCAGCTGCACTACAGGCCCAGATAGGCCCAGATCAGCCTCGTCCATCTTTGAGAACTCCTGACTTGGCCACACCTGCGTGGCCCTGGATGTGACGGATGCTGACTCCTGACAATACCTTCGAGGCAGCAAATCGGATGGAAGAGAGGACCCTGGACCCTGATGAACGAGAAGAACACGGTGCCTTGCTGGCGGTCTCCGTTGCGAGAAGCATTTCGGCGATGACTCACGAAATAGTGCCGCAAATTTCCTGCACAAAAGCTCCTCTGTGTCGGGAATACGGAATCCTTCATAGCCCGGATGCAATTCAAGCAGCCTTCGGAAATATGCACTGGCGGCATATTGCGATGGCCTGTCCAATTCCGTCTAGCAACAAAACACACTCAGGTCTTCGTACTATCACAGGCCTCCCTGCCACACACACCGGAATCACGGGGTCCAGCTCACGGGCAGGTGCTAGTACCCACCATTGCTGCCAGCCTTGAGACCTTTGCAACAGTACATAACGCGTCAGACCGCCGACCAGTCTCTCCTGAGGATACCGGAGTGCCTTTTTGCACGCTAAGTTTGGGCTGAGCTTGTGGCAGCCGGTAGTCCAGTTTCCGCTTGGCTCAGCCAGAAAGGGAAAGGACATGGACAGCTCTGCATGTCGGGCCAAAGTCATAGTTGAAAATGGAACACCTGCCGCCCGAACATATTACAGGAACATCTTGCCCAGAGCATGCTGTCAAGAAGCGCTACGACCTGTACAACATGGACCCAGGATTCTGACAATTCCTATATATGTGCTATATCGGCAGTAGATGTCACTGCACGTTCTAGACATCATGCATGTCTTCCACTTCGTAAAGTCAGATGCAACTTGGTCAATCCTCCGTTTCAAAACTTAAGGTCAGCCGAAACTCAGCTGGTGCGACGACATGATCAACAGCATCTCGCTGTAAGCCATCGATGCACGTCTTGGGCAGGTCCATCACCAGCTCCACTGCACCCTGATTGATCTTCCGCTGCAAGAAGGAGTGATGCCACCAGGCCCGAATGCTGTGCGAACGGGAAGTGACGGCGAAGCACGACCTCGATGTCTTTAACCGAACGCACACGAGGCCGTCGGCTTCAGTCCACCACAGGCTCTCTGCCAGCTTACACTCACAAACTCCATTCGGGGACAGCTCTGCCTGAAAGGTCGGGTGCCAATGTACCCACTTAAAACCCTCCAGAGCTTTGCGGCTCCCAAGGCCAATTTGCAGAAAGCAGCCACCACTACTGAACATTGCCGATCGCAGAGGTCCGATGCGCAGTGCTTTCAGTCGATACTTGAGAGCTTCCGCGTTCACTGGTGTGCTCGTGAGTTGAACGGAGCCCTGAAGCCAGATCTCGAACATGGCAATCCATCGAATCTGCGAAGGTATTGTCACACCAACCCGCGTGCCGCCTCGTATGCGACCAAACCAGCGCAGGGCATCCCGGGCAGCTGTGACAGCCCCCGAATACAACAAGAGTGCGCAGATCATGGTGCCGCTTCGTCCCTTGCCAGCCTTGCAGTGGATAACCGCTACATTCTGCTCGTCTGCCTGCAGCCAGGACTCCACATCTCTGCAGAAATCCAACATGTCGGCGAAATCAGGTGGGCAGTGATCAGCGGAGGGAAAAGCCTTCGTCTCCCTGGGGAAACCATTGTCTCGAAAGTGTCGTTCGGCACAGAGGTTGTAAATGCGGAAGTGGCCGCTATGGGCACCTTCGAGGAAGCGCTTCACCTCGCTGTGCGGATTCCGAAAACATGCACCAGAGCCTCGGCCCGGGAAGCCCATGGCAATAAGACGGGACGTGACGTAGGCCAAGTCCAAGTCGAAGCCGTTTTCCATAAAGCGATGCCGGCTTCCGGAGACTCTGCGTCTTACCCAGCCGCTCATCCCCGTCTTCAGCAAGGCCGTCGTGCTCATGTTCCGGTAGCTTTTCCTGGGGAGTCTTCCAAGCCACGACTCCTGCAGCAGGTCACAGTCTTCCACAGAGGCGCTTTCATGGGGTAACCACCACTCTCCAGCATGCTCAAAGATGGCCAAAACGTTTAGCGACTCTGAGCTCCGTCTGGACTGACATGTGTTCACCTTGGGCTTGCTCTTTGAGGTGTTGATAGTGTGATACGACTGTTCGGTTCGATAGTCTCCTGCCGTCATCATTCTCCGCGGCGTACCTTTACCCTCTGCAGGGTCTGTGCAAAGGTCGGGTTTGGAGATGTCTTGGTGTTGCACCTCATCCACAGGCTCAGAGCACAGGCACCACTTCGGGCTCCAGAACGGATCAGCCGTTGGAGGAGTCGGAGTTGTTCTGGCAGTTAGGTGTGCGTGTCTAGGGGACGACGGCGGAGCCAAGTCCCCACAGCACATCTTGAAGAAGGCCATTTTACAGTGCCCACTCGAAAACACACAGCGACTGAATACGAATCAACGGAAGGCCACACAATGCCCACGGAACGGCCATCGTAGAAGGGCTTCGTTGCACTGACTTCTAATATTTGTGATGTTGAAATCACAGCTTAAAGTACATCGTACAAGCACAGGCTCTTCATCCTGTCACGCGGCTTTTGGGCTTGCGGACAGTGTCTCTGTCTCTGTAATTGCTAACACATTATGACCTAACTTCACAGGGAGCTCCATGCAGGACTGTTGGAGTGCTTCTGTCGTCGTCTGCGAGCTCTGGTAGGAAGGCCGGCAACATGCAAGTAAAGCATCTGAGCACTCAAGGACAGACACGGACCATGGCACTGGACCTTCTCGGAGACTCTCACATCCTACATTTCGACTCTCTTTTGGCTGTCTTCGGGCTCCAACTGAACATCTGGCCGACGGCGAGGCGGCATGGCGAGGTCTTCATAGGCTTTCTAAAAAACTTGTCTGCAGTCTCGGGCTTCCAGTCACATGGTCTTGAACAACTTTGGAGCATCATACTACTCGACGGCCGCGTCCATCGACTGACGAAACAGCGTCCTGTCACGCTCTGAGTGGTCTGCGGGCACGCAAATCTCTCCCAAGTCATCTGCTGCTATGGGTGAGGAGTGGGCAGCAAATTAAGCAGCTTCTGGGATCCAATCGAGGCAACAGCGCTGCACGCCACTTTTGGCCCTGCTAGCGTGGCCTGCGCCGTCCTTTGACGACGGCAGTGAAGCCATCTTCGTCGACTACAGGTTCCACCTCTTTGGGCTTGCTGGTTCCATAGCCTTTGCCTCGATGCCTCGTTGCGGAAGCAGCATGCTGTGCTCACACACAGGCCCACATGCACGGAGTCGCTAAGCTAAGGAGTGAACAAGGCTTCGTCCGCAAGCTCTAGGACATTGTCAGCTTCCTCGCTGACCGCCCGCACGAGAGGAGTTCAAGTCAGAACAACTTCCTGCAAAACAGTCCTGGACTTCAATGTCAGAACCTTCGTCGCCTTCCTGCACTGCCACATGCTTAGGCTTAAGGTTGCATCACCCTTTCTGCCTCTCTGCCTCAACCTCCATTCCTTCCAGCTTGTCTAGCAGCTCGTCTTCCTCTGTCGCATACTCAATGCCTCAGACTTGGCGCCGCTAATGAGGCCACACGGCAGCGCAACACGAGCTCGGGTCCAAACGCTCGGACCCTTGGCTTTTGGAAAGGTCTTGCGGAGCTTGGGTTCGGCAAGCCTTGCAGAGCCAAGGGATTGCAAACAGCAGCTTACTCCAGCACTGCAACTCCTGGAAAGAACGGCAAGAAGCGCCCCGAAACGTTTCGGCCTGCAGGACTTCGTCCGCAAAACTTGCGTCTCCGGAGTGGCAGGTGTTCCAAAGGCGTAGACCTGCGTAGACACCAGCATCAACAGCTCCAAACAAAGCGAATGTTCAGGTCGAAGTCAGGCGTCTAAGCCTTCGGCACAGAGTTGCAACTTCTCTGTCACTACCGTCGTCGGTTTCCGTGTTGAACAACTCGTCCATCCGCAAATACAGGAAGTATGCCAGGTCCTTCGCTCATAGTTTTTGAGTGAATCGAAACACTCACCCCCACACACACACACACACACACACACACACACCGCTGTCAGCTAGTAGCTCGAGTCGTCCTGCACATCGCCAGGATTCTGCCAGCTCGGAGGATTCTTCTTCCTGGTGGATTTCAAAACGCCCGCGCAAGCTCAGCCCAATTCCGAAGCTTCGTTACCAGCAGCCTTGAAGCGTTGGCCAGATAGTCAATGACGTCCCCCTCACTGCATGGATTACCCAAGATAACAATACAACACATACTGAGCTTACACCCTGATAGTGTCGATTGCATGGACGGCGCCAGCCTGCAGCTGCCTGCCTTTGGCATGAGAGTCGCGGCCACCCCAGCCTTCTTGGTATCATGGAAACTGTCTACAGGGAATGTCATCTTGTTGCGTGAACACGCCCTGAACTCAATGCTCACGATGGGGCATCGCATGGGCAGTGTATGAACCTTTTAAATGGAAGTTATGAAATGCTCACTGCCATGCTCCGTCACTATGCTCATCAAGCAAAATACCGCAACCACGTTCGTGGCCTTGATCTGTCGCCAAGGCCAATGTTGTCCATTTTTTGAAGACACTGTCCACTGCCTGAAGCAAGGCTTACATCTTTTCATTCACCAGCCCAGACTGACACACAACATCTCGGCTAGCGACTTCATGGAACTTTTGTTCCAAGCTCATCTGCCTGATCTAGAACACGATGATGTTCTCCCTAACTTGCACCACACCACACAACCCCACCCGGCCTGAGCACCTATGCCTTCCGGATGCACATGATAAAACAATGCGGCTTGCTCCGAAAAGGCTTCGCAGCACCGGCGAAAGTTGTTTGTTTCGAGTTCGTGGCTTTGATTTCGAAATGAAGGTTCAAGTGGCAGCTCTTGCAACTGTTCAGCCCTGGTCAGCCTGTCTCTAGCCTTTGACAAGCGCTTGCCGGCCCTGGGCCAACCCCTCAGCACTCTTTGCCGGCCTGCCACCAGCCCCTTGGCAGAGTCAGTTCTTGTCAGCATCTTGTCGCTAACCTTCTTGATGCTTGTGAGCATGTCAGTGTTGTTGCCGTTCCCCTTCAAGATCGCGAGAAGTTTTTGCGAGCTTAGCGACGCATGAAGGCACCAGAACATTTATTTTTCGAGATCCAATCCTCCTAGCACGACGATCTCTGGTCGAGCGCAGACCAAGCTGCACAAGAGGAAGATATTGTGTTTCTTGTCCGTACCAATCATGGATTTCGTTACTTATTCAGGCCGACCAACGGAAAAGCATGATAGTCTTTGGGGGACCCATCAGGGAGAGTAGCAACACCTTCTGTGAAATGATTTCTCAAGGGATGGCTCGCAAGTGTTGAAAAGCGCCTCCAGCGATTCTCAGATGTACAAGAAACCTTTTACGTTTTTTCAGATTTGTTAAGAAACCTTGAAGTTTTTTGCTAGTTTTTTAAGGCTGTCGATGATGGATGATTGTTGAAAAGCTTGCACGAATCACTGTTTTTTATTGTTTTGCAAAAGCTCTTCATTTGGACTTTCAAGATTTGGCATCATATTTACGGTTTTTTAGGTTTCCATAAGGGTTCTAACGGGCTCTTGATGAACCTTGAAGAGAAACTATTAACCACTGCTAAAGATTTGTAATGCCTTGTACGGCTTGTGAAAAATCTTGTTTATGGGACTGTTATTATCTCAAGTTCCTGCAGGATTGTGTTGTGTTTTGATGGCTTGTCCAGGATTCTTACATGTTCTTGGAGCTCTTGAAGAAACTGTGAATGGTGCTTAAAGTGTCTATTTCGAAATCTGACATGCCGCTATTTCGGACAAACCTTAATAAACTTTGAAAACGTTCAGACTAAAAGTCTTTGTGAGGACGTTCCCCGACGGCCACGTCCCACATGTATGCCCAGAGACTCGTCACATCTTGTCCCCATTGTTGATGCGCATCCGACATGGCATGCGCAGTTGTCCTTACAGTGCAAGTCTGGATTTGGACATTGGGTTGCGGATTTTTTCCTTGAGATTTTTACCACGGCGTGTGTTGTAATTACATCTTGCCCGTTTTTTCTCTCGTGTTTAACACTACTTTGTGGTTAGATGCCGAAAAAAAAACAATTTTCGAAAGCCAGTTTGTGCTAAAAGAAGTCTGCCGTGCATATCGATACAAGTAGCAAGCTCGCAAACGTCGTCCCTTGTGGACTGCTCGGCAGAATTATACCTTTTTGTTGGCGTACCGCGGCCTCATCTCGCTACAAGGGGGGCAAAGCCATAGGGTGAAACAGAAGAACTGCGCAAGATTGCACAACACGCTTCAGCAGTTGAGTTTGGGCCCGTTCTCTAGGTCGCACTGCTCT